TAAGCAACGACAACAGTGTGCTTTTTCTGGCCTTTACAACATGCTTGTATTCAGCCTTGAAAAATGTGATTTTGGTCAATCAACAAATATTTAGTAAGTACTTACTATGAGCCCAGAACTATGGTAAGTGCTGGAAATACAAAGATAGAAGTGAAAGAATCCCTGCCTTCAAAGAGCTTACATTCTACCAAGGGAATCAACATAGCCTGTACATATATTTGTAGATTTATTTACCAAATATAGACCAAATGAACAGAAGGTAATTTGGAGGAAGAAAGCACTTGCAATTGTAGGGATCAAGGAAGAATGAAATGGCAAAGATGGCCCTTGAGTTGATGGCACTGGAAGGAACCTAGGAATTCTAAGAGGTGGGAGCGAGAAGTCACAGAATTCCAGATATGGAAGTCAAAGGTACAGAGATGGCAGATCACCATCTGTCATGAGTGAAGAACTCTAGGAAGGCCAGTTTGATTGGACCATAGAATGTGGGAAGAGTGACACTGTGTAAAAAGGCTAGAAAGGTGGGTTGGGGCTTATCCTATCCTCCAAAATCAGTATTCCACTAATTTGTTATTAATTGGGAAATCAGGGCATCTAGGTGGTACAGTAGATAGTGCACCCCGCCTGGAGGAAGGAAGACCTGAGTTCAAATTAGGCCTCAGACACTTACTAGCTATGTGACCGTGGGCAAGTCACTGAACTCTGTTTGCCACAGTTCCTCATCTGTAAAATGAGCTGGAGAAGGAAATGGCAAACCACTCCAGTATCTTTGCCAAGAAAACCCCAAATGGGGTAAAGAAAAGTCACACCCGACTAAAACAACTGAATGACAACAAAGACAAAATATTACCAACACCCTCTTACGTCTAAAGTAATTCTCAAACCTCAAACTGCTATATAAATATGAGCTATTGTTAATATTATTGCATAATAATTATATTATAGCATAGTAAGCTACATGTTACTGTTACAACATAGTAAACTATTATGTTGGGACTTGGAAAATGCTATTTTACATATAAAATAAGGATTCATTGAAGTTTCTCTGAAATTTTCTGGGTAGAGAGATTCTTTTGGGATGGGTTTAAAAAGACAACTTTTTAGAAAATCGTTGGTTTTTTGCTCATTGGACTAGTCCAGGGGTGGGTAAACTGAGGCCTTGAGGCCAGATGTGGCCCTTTAGGTTTTTGGGTGTGGCCCTTTGACTGAGTCCAAGCTTTACAAAACAAATCCTTTTATTAAGGGGATTTGTTCTGTGAAGTGTGGATTCAGTCAAAAGGCTGCACTTGAGGACCTAGAGGGCCTCATGGGGCCTCAAGGCTGCAGGTTCCCCACCCCTGGACTACACAACCAGATATACTAGCAGGATGAAAGCAATTCATAAACAACCAACTGCCACTTATACAGTATTTTTTAACTAAGCAAAAGAAAGCCAGCCTTTGCTACAGGTCGTTACAACTACAACCTCTCACTTTCTGGTGATTACTTCCTTTTATTCTACAGAGTTAGAAGATGCAGTTCAAAACCTGATTCCACTCTACTTTTCCAGACTTATTTCACATTATTCTCCTTTACTCTCCCAACAGACTGGACTAGTCTCATTCCTGACAGAGCTCTTTCTTTGTTTCTATTCACACTATTCCCTAAGCAAGGCTGGGATTCCCATTCTTCCTTCTTTTAACTTGTTGAATTCCTATCTTTATCTTAAAGCCCAGATCCCATGTCACCTCCCTTTTGATATTTCCCTAATCTTCATAATTATTCACCACCTTGTGACTCAGACTTCACATCTCACTTGGATTTGTAACTCTGATGAACTAAAGCCAGGATCAGAAAATTATGTTTCCCTACTGCCTGTTTATGTACACCCTTGTTGCTAAGAAGAGTTTTGACATTTTAAAATGAAGTCTAAAATGTCAAAAATCATTCTTAGCTCGAGGGATTTGGCCCTTGGGCTCTGGTTTGCAGTCTCTTGCACTAAAGTTTGATACCTATGTTGTGTCTTATCTTCACACCAGATCATCAAGTCGTAGAGAAAAGGGGAAGTCAATATCCCATCTAAGCTTTCAATCAAGCTTCAGCACTTAGCACACTAAGCATATGGTAAATGCTTAATAAATCTTTGTTGTTATAATTGGCCAACATCCTCACTGTTTATACTTGATGTGTTTCTGATCATTACAATTTTCTTAAATAGGCTAAGCTACTCTCCAAAACCAAAAAGAATAGGGGGAAAATCTATGTCTAGGTAAGAGACTTTTCATCCTGAAACCCTTGGGAGGAAAACCTCTTGGATGATTTTACTAAATTTTTTTATTCAATGGAATCTTTATAACTTATTTAAAATGTCATATACCATTTGCAGGATGTTTGAGAAAAAAATGGCCATATGCAAATACGGACAAAAATTTTGAAATAAAAGAATTTAAAATGAGGTATATATATACGTATATATACATACACATATGTGTGTGTTTATGTGTATATATGTATGTGTGTATATATGTGTATATGTATATGTTTGTATATATGTGTATGTATATATATGTGTGTATATATATGTTTGTGCACGTGTGTGTGTGTGTGTGTGTGTGTGTGTGTGTATATATATATATATATATATATATATGGAGGGGCAGCTAGGTGGTGCAGTGGATGGAGCACTGGCCCTGGAGTCAGGAGGACCTGAGTTCAAATTCAACCTCAGACCAAACACTTGATCCTTGCTAGCTGTGTGATCCTGGGCAAGTCACTTAACCCCAAGTGCCTCAAAAAACAAACAAAAAACCCCAAAATTATATATATATATTTATATATATATATATATATATATACACACACATATATGTATATATATGTTACACACACATATATCCATATGTATATGTATATGTATATGTATATGTATATGTATATGTATATGTATATGTATATGTATATGTATATGTATATGTATATGTATATGTATATGTATATGTATATGTATATGTATATGTATATGTATATGTATACCATGATCAAAATGCAGGTAAGAAGTCTGGAGTACCTGAGTTTTCAAAGTATTAGCTTTCCAGACACAGTTACTACATTTTGACCCAGTTATATTAAACACACCCCACCTCATAAAGAATGTCTTTGGTTGATAGACACTGTATCACCAAAGATAGGCAAATGAAGGTTGGTTTGAGTTGTAAGGAAGGACTCCCATGTGGCAAGGCACTGTTCATAGTAGCTGATATTTTTCTCAGCCATATATGTAAATGCCAACTTGATATCATTTAGCATGTTTTGTTTCCTTCTGCCCTAATCAGCTTTCAGAGAATTATTAGCACATTCCATTTTGTCTTCTAGTTTTCTCATCTCTTCTGTAAGCAACTCTTTTTCAGCCTTTCTGTAGATCAAAGCTTCAACTCTAGAATCTAGTTCTGCTTGAATTTGGTCTCTTCTTTTCATAACTCCCATTAATATTTCACTACAAAGAATGTATTCATGTACAACTGGAAAGTGTCTCTGAAAGGTCAAATATTTGTCTTTCAGTGGCCTTATAACACTTGTCAATGCAGCTGGCCACACCTTTCAGGGAGTCAACCAGATCCTCTTCCGATGCAGGCCACCAGGTGCAGATTGGTCCACATTCCTTCATTTCCTCAAAAATACTCCTTTTCTTCCTTGTAAATTCCATGAGATATTTTGTCTATTAAGTTTATCTCCTGTCTAAATGTTCCCACATCATTATTCATTTCAGTGAACTCATCTGGGATGTTTTTAACTCCTCTCACTGAAGATGCTACAGCTATGACTGTCTACCCCATCCTGCTAAGCAATCCAGGACCTTGTTTCTTGTTTGAAGAGAGTTCCCAGACTTGCCCAGTAAGAAAAACTTTGAAGTCTTCATTAAAAGTTAAAGCTGAGTGATCAGCAATTCGATTTAAGAATTTATGCAATGCCTTTTTCAAGACTCTATGAAGTCATCATTAAACCGTTCCACCATGCCTTTCACTATGAATTTTTCAGGCAAAGGAGGTTAATAAGGAGGGTAGGATGTGCTTCTTCAAGTTTTCCTAATCAAAAGAAATCTTGATAACATCTTCAAACTTCAAATTCACTGGAATCAAATACACCCTAAGATGTCTTAGTTGTAACTCTGCAGGTGATGAAAGTTTCAATTGTAGTAATGTGGCTTTCTGGATCATCAACTGTAATGAAAAGGTCATTGAAGTCTGGCTCATGTTCAAACTTGTATTGATTTACCATGGATAAAGGGGATGTTGGCATCAAAAAACTGAAAGAGTTCAGGTCCATCAGGGAGGCATCTTTGCCAAAGAACTCCTGGTCATCCTCGTTCTCACCTAGGTCCAGCACCTCGGAATTCAGCAGGACTGCTGGTTGCCCCTGGGGCTCTGCCAGATACCACTGAATCTACTGGCCCCTCCGCCGCCTGCTCCCCTCCTCTTCGATGGTTCTAAGGTGGGAAAATAAAAGCTGCTGTTGTTTGATCCCTTGGGAACAGGCTTTAAAAGATGAAACTTTTGATAAATCTCATCATCTCCCAAATAAATCATGCTAAAAGATACAGGGTTACAAATCATCTATCATCTTACCTATTTTCGATTAGAAGGAGGTGGTTAAAAATTACAAAAACAGAGCCATCTATTTAGATAACTGGAGGAAATACACCCATTTGTAACTCAAATAGGAACAAAATAGAAATTTATTTATTTCAAGGACAAAGAACACATTTTTTTTCCAGTTCTATAACTTAGTCTCTTGCTGATCAGTGACTATGGTTGTAACTCCATTTCCTAGTTCTCTAATTAGGTTTTGGTCTCCACCCACCACCAAAAACTAATAAGTAAACTCTCTCCTTTTTTTAAATCAAGTGTCTTACAAAATGGTATAAAGCACTAGCTAGAAACTGGTTTGGAGAAAGGAGAAAAAAAGTTACGGAGGGGAAGTCTACACTTAAACAAACATCCCCCAAATTATATCACACCCATTACCTTGAATATGAATCAGAAAGCACAGGAGCATGAGGAAGAAGACTTTCTGCCATCTTTCCATGGTCTTCAGTGAAGGGAACTTCAACAGCTGCTCATTCCAAATAAACAACAATATTCAAAACCCCTCCCACCTTTGTGGATGTCTAGTCTTCAAGTGTAGATATGAGAGGAGGGGCGAGCAATGTGGCAAACAGTTCTTAGGTAGGGAACATTAGCCAGAGCAACATTCCACCTTCACCAAAACCTCATAGACTTGTCAGGAATATTCCAAGTCCAGGCAGCCAAAGAACAAAGAGAGATACAGGTATGTGCATGCTTGAAGTATGCATGCGTAATTAGCTTCTCACTACAAGGTGTCCATCAGGCTGCCATGTAGGGCTAATAGGATGGCATGGCTTGTCATTAAAGCACCAATGAGAAAATGGGGCCTCTGGAAGCTGGTATAGCCTGCTCCTATACCTTGCCTCCCTTTTGGAAAGGGGTGGTACTCCAAGTTCAAAGGCACCAAAGTTCCCGCACCAAGAGCACACACAAGTTCATAAGTAGCTTGCAACACTTCAGGTGATTCAGTGTTCCCTCATGGAAAAATTGGGCGAGCAGAAACCTGGTCAAATCATCTAACTTTGAATGATATTAGGTTCGTAGAGTAAGAGCTGGAAGAGACTTTAGAAATGGTGAACACCTACCTCAACCACACTTCCAGTTCTCTTTTTCTGCATTTTCATGAGTTCATTCTGCAAATCATACTGTTTTCTTTTTTCCTTTCTTTTCTTTCTTTTCTTTTCTTCTTTCTTTCTTTCTTTCTTTCTTTCTTTCTTTCTTTCTTTCTTTCTTTCTTTCTTTCTTTCTTTCTTTCTTTCTTTCTTTCTTTCTTTCTTTCTTTCTTTCTTTCTTTCTTTCTTTCTTTCTTGCAATTGGAGTTAAGCGACTTGCCCAGTCACACAGCTAGTGAGTATTATGTGTCTGAGGCCACATTTGAACTCAGGTCCTCCTGACTCCAGGGCTGGTGCTGTATTCACTGCACCACTAGCTGCCCCTCTATACTGAGCTCTTTTTTACATTCATTGTGCTCTTCCAGTTACCATGGGAGAAAAAACAAGTAATAAATTGGATTCTAAAGGGGCAGCTAGGTGGTGCAGTGAATAGAGCTCTGGCCTTGGAGTCAGGAGGATCTGAGTTCAAATCTGACCTCAGACACAGAACAATCACTTAGCTGTGTGACTCTGGGCAAGTCACTTAACCCAATTGCCTCACCAAAAAATAAAATAAAATAAAATAAAATAAAATAAAATAAAATCTCAGGGACAGCTAGGTGGTGCAGTGGATAGAACACTTGCCCTTAAGTTAGGAGGACCTGAATTCAAATCTGGCCTCAGACCAAAAACTTGACACTAGTTGTGTGACCCTGGACAAGTCACTTAACTCCAACTGCTAAAAAAAAAAAAAACCCTTTAAATAAATTGAATTCTACTTTAAAGGAGATTATTATCTAATTAGGACCATACATATGGATGAAAATTTTAACTTCAATAATAGTTAACATTTACATAATACTTTCATATTTGAAAGTGCTTTACAAATATTTTGACATTTTGTCCTCACAACAATCTTGGGAGGTAGATGCTATTATTATCCCCATTTTACAGATGAGGAAACTGAGGCAAAGGTTAAGTGACTTGCTTAGTGTCATACAACTATTAATAATAACTATTAATATAATTAATTAATTATAATAAAATAATATAATAAATATAATATTATATCAATATAATAATTAATAATAAAAATTAATAAGTAAAATTTGTGTGCCAGCCACTGTGCTAAGTGTTTTATAACTCTTATTTGATCTTCACCACAACCCTGGGAAATAGGTGCTATTATTAACCCCATTTTACAAATGAGGAAATTGAGACACACAGAAGTTAAGTGACTTGCCCAGAGTCATATAGCTAGTAAGTGTGTGAGGTCATTGACATCAGGTCTTCCTAACTCCAGGCCCAGTAAGTGTTCTACCCACTAAGTCACCAAGGTACCTAACAAAAGAATGACATTTTAGGAGGGTGCAATGTCATAAGCACAGACTTGGAAATAGGAGAGATAAGGAACACATATGAGTGTGTTAGGGAGACAAAGAAAAGACCAGTGGGATACAGTGCTAGGAAGGTAGGTGGGAGCTAGACTGTGCAGAGATTTGAAAAGGACAACAACAATGATAACTAACACACTTACCTAGCACATTGCCTGGCACACAGTAGGCACTTAATAGATGTCTATTGACTGACTGACTGACATCCAGGGGTGTTCTAGAACCATCTGGAACTGGTTTACTCAATTTGGATTGTGAAGTTTTTAGCATAAGCATTCAATACAAGCATTAGAGACAAACATTACAAATCTGGACTTGATTTATTGTTTTATTGACTATCTAGACTTAAGAAAGTAACGTGGTGGCAGAGAACCGGAAATTACAGGGATGCCCATCAACTGAGAAATGGTGGAGCAAGTTATAGTATATGATTTTGGTGGAATACTACTATGCTATTAGAAATGATGAGCTCAATGGTCTTAGAAAACATGGAAGGACTTACATGAAATAATGCAGAGTGAAATGATTAGAACCGACAGAATGTTGTATACAGTAACAGCAATATTATTTTAAGAACAACCTGGAGTGATTAAGTGATTTTGACTATTATAAATACCCAGATTAGCTACTAAGGACATATGAAGGAAGATGCTATCTGTATCCAGAGAAATAACTGATAAATAGAAGTATGTATAGAATGATTTTACAAATGTGGGTATACATACATATGTATGTGTATGTATACATACATATATACATACATACATATATAGACACACACATTGTGAAATACAGTCACATATATATATATATACACACACATACCTCTAATTGTAGCCATCTGGGGGTGGGGAGAAAAAAAGGAAAAAAGAAAAAGAATTACATAACTTTATTATATATTTAAAAGGATTAGCGAGTTGTATATAATGGATTTGCAGTTTCAGTGCAAAAAAACAGTAATGGAGAAAAAGTTAATAATGCAGATTAAACTTAAAAATGAAGCATGTGTACTTTTTTTCCCTGAAGAACAGATTATTAAACATTTACCAATACACTGAGGCAGCCCTGTAGCATTTGCTAGGTGCTTTAAGTATATGTTCTAATTTGATCCTCACAATAGTAAGTGAGTAGGTGCTATTATTTTCCCCATTTTACACACAAGAAAACTGAGCCTGACAGAGCTTAAGTGATTTGCCCAGAGGCAAACATGCTAGTAAGGGTCTGAAGCAGGATTCCAGTTCAGGTCTTTTGACTCCGAGATCACCATCCTATTCGCTATGTCAGTTCCAGATTAAGGACCTTGAACACACCAGTGGTTTCCAAGGGGCTGTAGCTCCAGAGGATCCCCAAGGGAGTTTGCAGTATAACTTTAAGGGATATGATCATGTTGAATCCTACACCTTCCTTACAATAATAATGAGGCTTGTCTCCATCACACCACACCTAGCCTTTATTCTCTAATGCACCTTCACTCCATGATCTCAACCCACTTTACTATTTTTAATTTATAGAATAAAACAAGCATTTTCACAACACAGTATAATTTTAAAGACGATTGCACTGAAACTGCAAATCTATTATGTGTAACTTGCTATTCCTTTCAAATATAGAATAAAGTTATCATGTTAATTTCTTTTTTCCCTTTTGTCTTCCCTGTCCCCCACCCTAGAGATGACTACCATTAGACACAAATGTGTGTGTTTACGGGTGTGTATGTAAAATCATTCTATACATACTTCTGTTTATCAGTTCTTTCTCTGGATGCAGATAGCATCTTCCTTTATATGTCCACCTGCTTTGTAAGCTCCTATCTTCTCCATTTCAGACTCGGCTTTTGACTCCTAAGGACAGTTATAATCCAGCTGATACTTGAACATCCATAACAATAGCTATGTAGGTGCCATTGGGGAAATTCCTCCATACACAGCCTCTTGCCTTGTCCTCAGAGTACATAGTGACTACAGCAGATGCCCCTTGGAAGATAGGCTCTTGCACTGTAGCCAAATGAGAGCTCTACCCTATCTTCCATTTTTATCTTGCACATGTATATGTCTATGTGTGTATATATAAAAATATACATATAAGTACAGGCATGCATGTTTATAATTTATAAATTATATAGTGTATGTATATATATATATATGTATTATATATGTATATGTATATATGTGTGTATATATATATGTATATATGGGTTGCACACTACAAATTTTTTACTGGTTAAGCGCAGTGAACTGGAGAATTTCACGGACCATCAGGCTCGATGTACCATGCACTGCAATGACAAAGCCAAAGCCATGACAGATGCCAGGATCAAGAAGCAAGAGGTAAAGAGGCAGCTAGGGTTCTCTGTGACCAAATGTGTTGATGACCACATGGGCATCATCCCCACAATGACTAAGAAGATGAAGGATTCCTTGGCATCTATTGTGAAATAAAGACATTGTCAGTAGTGATCTAGAGTGGGAGAATCGGTCTACTTGTAAAAATGTATGGAAAGTTTCACCATTCAGTGAAAATTTAAGAACAAAGAAATTGAGGTTGGTAACAAGGAGGGCTAATAATACCTAGACGCATCCCATCAGTGAAGTTGACTCCTATTTTACTTGTTGAAATCCTCAATGGCTTTTAGCTGGTTGAGAAGTATTCCATTCCTGGAAGCTGTAATAGCCCTGTAGGTTTAGGGGTATTAGTGGTTCTTGGCAATAACCTATTTCCTGTCTGGTGTGAGTCCCTGAGGTAGCCACCCACTTTTGTCTGGTGCCGACTTCATGTCCATGTGATTGAACCATTTCTCATAGACCGGAAAGCAGCAGCTATAAGTTCACTACTGATTGGAAAAGAAAATACAGTTGTACTTTTCTCTCCAGTACAAGAACCAGGCATTCAGAGGGAAGTCTGGGAAAAGAAGGTTATTCCAATTAGAACACTGAGCTGCTCCTGGTGATATTTCCTTTGAAAAGGACAGTACTCCC